TGGTTTCCCAGGCCCCGCCATCAGATAGACAGAATAATCTGGAATGATGTCCGTGTGCAATTTCTCCGCATGCCTCCGCCCCAAGCCAATGCCGCCCTGAAGACCCTCGCAGGCGCTTGGACGTGCAGCGAAGCCTTTCAGGGGCAGCGGAAGTGCATGCTCGGCTGCCATGCTCGGGAGTCGATTTCGCACTATCTCTCTCGTCCTCGATTCCTCGACCTCCTCGCTGGGCTCTGTGATCGTCCGCTCGATGCCTGTCCGATTGCTCGCTTCGGTCTGCTCCGTCCGTCGCCCACCTCTCTCGCCTCTCTTGCTGCCGCCACTATGCTCTTTAACACTTTGGATGCTGCCGCCGACCTGGGCGGCATCAGCCAGTTCGAGGCGATGGCTGCGCCCCCGCGGGCCCGCGCCGCCCTGCGCCGTGTGGAGGAGGCTTAGACACTGCGTCCGCTCTCTGGGTACGCGCCAGGAGGGGGGGATGGAGGTGAAGGAGAAGAAGGGGGAGGAGGAGGGAGGAGGAGAGGAGGCGAAGGAGGAAGAGGTGAAGGAGGAGGAGGATGAGGAGGAGGAAGAGGGGCAGGAGGAAGAAGGAGGGCGAGGGGAAAGGGGCAGGGGAAAGTGGGGGGGAGGAGGGGGGGAGGAGGAGAAGAGGGATGGAGGAGAAGCAGGAGGAGGAAGAGGAGGAGGGGGAGAAGGAGGAGGATCGGGGCGGAGGTCAGAGGAGGACGAGAGAGGGGATGAGGAGGGGGGGGGGGGGGGGGGAGGAGGAGGAGGAGGAGGAGGAGGAGGAGGAAGGAGGAGGAGCAGGAGGAGGAGGAGGAGTAGGAGGAGGAGGAGGAGGCGGAGGAGGAGCAGGAGGAGGAGGAGGAGGCGGCGGAGGCGGAGGCGGAGGCGGCGGCGGAGGCGGAGGCGGAGGAGGTGGAGGTGGAGGAGGAGGAGGAGGAGGAGGAGGAGGAGGAGCGCGACTCAAGAGCGCCGAGAGAGCGATCTTTGAATACACTGGAAAGAAGCCCCGAGCGAGAACGCGATTCCTGAATAAAATGCGAGGAAGTCTCACGCGGGAGCGGGGGTCCGGGCAACGTTGTGGGGGAGTCACACGCGGGAGCCGTTGTTGTTGTAACCCGGGGGCCGCCCAGTTTGAGCTTCAGAATTTCCTTGCTTAAAACAAGGGTGCGAGCCCCAGGAAAAGGCGCTTCAATTTTAAAAAGACAACTTGCACCGTTGGGGGGCTCAACAATATTTAGTCTTCAACACCGACAACTGCAACGACAAGAACAACGTCATCAACAATAACAACATCAACAACGCAACAAGCAGAGTCCGCGCCACGGATTTTGAATTTCAGCTACGTGCCCAGGGACAATGAATGACAGTTCGGCCCCCTCGCTCTGATTTATGAGCCGACGCAGCACGGCAAGGGAAGGGGAGGAGGGGAGGGGGCAGAGGCAGCCTCGGGCAAGGCGAGAAAAGAAGGATAAATATCCCATTCATACCCCTGCAGCAGACTCGATTCTGACTGGAGCCAGCAAATCAGGACATGCGAAGGACGGGGGAGTCATCGTTTGAAGCGTGCGCTTGTCCCCGGGGGTGGTGGATTGCGCCGCCCCCCCCATCGCAGAGCGCGGCGGGCCGGACGCGGCGCGCCAGTGGAGGAGGGCGAGGATGAGGATGCGGATGAGGATGCGGTTGAAGATGAGGATGAGGATGAGGATGGGGAGGAGGAATCATAAAACGACGTGAAGATCAGGACAAAATCGGATCGGGATAACTCGAAATCTCTGAGAATCGGCGGGTTTGGAGGATGTATTGGGCGCCGCGGCCGCTCCAGAGCGTTCCGGAACGCTCTGAGGGCGTTCCGGAACGCTCTGGAGCGATTTATCCCGATCCTAGCCTTGTTTTAAATCATGAGGAGCAGGAGAAGGAGGAGCATGGGGAACATGAGCGAGGAGCGAGGGGGATGAGGTGTGAGGATGAGTGAGGGGGACAGTGAGCAGAAGGACGTGGATGAGGGGACCGGTGCAAACCCAGAAGTCATCAAGGATGCTGGAGCACACCCGCCCTCCGAGCTTCGTTTTCATAGGCCCCTACAAGGAGTCATTTCCGCTGGGGGAAGTGCCCCTCATGGGGGCAACCGTGTGAACATCCTGAAGCGCGCTACAACACGACTCTCGGGACCCCAACGCCGCGGATCAACGTGAGTGTTGCGTTTTGACTATCCTGAATCGCGCCAGCGCGCCATTATTAGGATCCTAACACCGCGAATGAATGGAACGGTTGCGCCCTGATAGTCCTCAATCGTTCCAGCAAAGATAGTTCTGCTACGTTAGCCGTGAGAAGGGATATCGCTAAACAGTGCCACTCCTGCAAATGTTGGACACGAATGCGCGCGTCGCTCAGGCGAGACCAACATTTTGAAGAGGATCCGCCCTTAATTCGTGGAGCTCTTGCAAGACGAATTTGCCTAAATGCAAAGTTGAGAGCCGCATTTTGACAACGAACCGCCCTCAATACGTAAAGCTCGTGCAAAGCTTGAAAAATAATATGCGTGGCGCTAAAGCTACGCATTGAACAACACCTGTCCCTACCCAATGGAACTCTTACGCAGTCTTAACAGGAGTGTGCGAGGCGCCTAGGCGAGCGCCACATGTTGAAATCAACATGTTAAGCGGGAACCACATTTTGGAAGACGCGTGTGGTGGAGTTTGAGGCTTATGAATGCTGAGGAAACCACGCGAAACGCCCGGGCCGCCGTTCCGACTAGCCTCGGGGCGTGGCAGGGAGGAGCTATTCATGACGAACAGGCATGGAGCGATGAGGAGTCAGGAGAAGTGAGGAGAAGTGAGAAGTGAGAGGTGAGGTTGAGCGAGAAAGAGTAGTAGGAGGAGAAGGATGAGCAGTGAGGGGTGGGACGTAGCGAAGAGTGGTGATAATGGTGCTGTTGATAATGATGATGATGATGATGATGATGATGATGATGATGATGATGATGATGATGATGATGATGGTGGTGGTGGTGGTGATGATGATGATGATTATGATGCTGATGATCATGATGATGATGATGATGATCAGGATGATGATGCTGATGATGATTGTGATGATGATGATGATGATGCTGATGATGAGTTGCTGATGCTGATGCTGATGAGGATGATGACGAGGATGAGGCTGATAAGGACGATGCTGATGCTGATGATGTTGATCATGACGATGATGGTGATGATGATGCTGATGCTGAGAGTATGACGATGATGTTGATGGTGATTCTGATGATGGTGATGATGATGGTGATGATGCTGATGATGATGCTGATGATGATGATGATGATGATGATGATGATGATGATGATGATGATGATGAGGAGGAGGAGGAGGAGGAGGAGGAGGAGGAGGCAGAGGATTTGGAGGTGGAGGACGGAAAGGAGGGGAAGGACGAGTGATGATGAGGAGGAGGAGGAGGGGAGCAGGAGGAGGGGGAGCAGGAGAAGGGGAAGGAGGAGTTTGGTGGACGAGGACGAAGGGGGGAGCAGGAGTGAGGAGGACGAGAGGGAGGAGGAGGAGGAGGAGGAGGAGGAGGAGGAGGAAGAGGAGGAGGGCAGGAAGGAGGAGGAGGACGAGAGGGAGGAGGAGGAGGAGGAGGAGGAGGAGGAGGAGGAGGAGGGATAGGAGGAGGAGACGGAGGAGGACAAGGAGGAGGAGGAGGAGGAGGAGGAGGAGGAGGAGGAGGGGGACGAGGAGGTTTAGGAGGAGGAGCAGTAGAATGGGAGGCCTGTTTTGCGTCATGCCGCCGTGTAATCTTAAGATTGACTTTTCGCCGGAGTGACCTTTGGTGCGGGCCCAATGGAGTCCCCCGATCGCTGAACGCGACGCGGTAGCTGCGGCTTGCGCGCCCAGGTTTGACCACCCCGTCCTCCGGTATCCCGCGCACCAAAGGTCATTCTTGCCTAGGGTCACTCTCGCGTGTAGCCGACTTGCTCGCATGAGATAATGATGGGCCGAATCAGCATGCAGGGGAAGGGGAGAGGAGGAGGAGGAGGAGGAGGAGGACCAGTGTAAACCCAAGAGTCATCGACGATGGTAAAATAAACCCTCCCTCCAAGCTCCCTCTGTATAGGCCCGTACAACGGTCCATGTCCACTGAGGGAACTGCCTCGTTAGAAGACAACCGTTTGAAGAGCCCGAAGCGTGTCACAGAATCATTCTCGGGACCCCAAGGCCACGGATCAACCTGATTGTCTTGACAAAGCGAAATCGTGCCGGAACGCCCTTCATGGAACTCCAACGCCGCGAATCAACGGAACTGCTGCGCCCTGACAATATTTGATCGCTCCAAGATATTGCTTATGGTACGGTAACCGTGAGAACGAGCGGCGTTCCTGCAAACATTTGAAACACATGTGCGCGGCGCTAAGGCGAGACCAACATTTTGAAAAGGAACCGCCCTCAATCCGTGGAGCTATATGCAAAGGCAAGAGCGCGATGCAAAGGCAAGATCCACAGTTTGAAAACGACCCGCCCTCAATCCGTGCAATTTTGTGTGAAGCGAGGGTGCGCGGCGCTAAGGCGAGAGCGACATCTGGAAACCCACATGTCCTCAATCCGTGAAGCCCTTGTTTTTGGCTTGGCGACAAAAAAACAAATGCGCGCGGCGCTGATGCGAGAGCCACATTTTGAAACCGACCCGCCCTTTCGACCGTCCTGTCGACTGGCCCGCCCTTTCGACCATCCTGGGGGTGCGACAGGGAGAAGTTATGTATATGGAAAAGGAATGGAGCAGGGGGGGAGCGATGAGGAGAAGGAGGAGGAGGAGGAGGAGGAGGAGTCGGAGAGGAGGAGGAGGAGGAGGAAAGGGAGAGGAGGATGAGGAAAGGGAGAGAAGGAGGAGGAGGAGGAAAGGGAGCGGGGGAGGGGGAGGAGGAGGAGCGAGGAGTCGGAGGATCGAGGAGGAGGAGGAGGAGCGAAGAGCGGGAGGATCAGGAGCAGCCGCCCTTTGCGCCCAAGGCTCGGGGTCCCCCGCGGCTCGCGGGCTCCACGGTGGCGGTGCGAGACGCGGCGTGCGGCCGGGTCCTTACGGAGCCCCGGGCGGTGGCGTCGCCGCCGCCGTCTGCCGCCGCCGCCGTCGCTCGCAGGATCCGAGGAGGAGCAGGAGGAGGAGGGGCAGGAGGAGGAGGAGGAGGAGGAGGAGGAGGAGGAGGAGAAGAGTCTTGGAGACCTCTTGGGGCGTCTTGGAGGCCTCTTGGGCCATCTTGAGGCCATCTTGGGTGTTTTGGAGCGATCGTTCTGCGATTGGGGGCCCTCGTGGACTCATGGGAGGGTTCGGGAGGTCGCTTTGGGGGAGGCACAGCGTCCTCAGGAGGCGCAGACAACACTTCAGACTTCACGGGAGCCAGCCAGGAGACTCCGGAACGGCCTGGGAAACGATTAGTCGGGGCCGTTAAACATTTACAATTCTCGTTGCAGCAGCAGCACAGCGTCTATCTCCCATTGCTGCATGAGCCTTGCTGCATGAGCCTTGGGGCACTCCACTTCGTGCCAGACACACGGTGGCGGATATAGTGTTTTTTGGGGGAGGAGGGGGAGGAGGGGGAGGATGATGATGATGATGATGATGATGAGGAGGAGGAGGAGGAGGAGGAGGAGGAGGGGGAGGAGGAGGAGGAGGTGGCAGAGGATGAAGAGGACGAGGAGGCGGAGGAGAACGAAAAGGAGAAGGAACGGAGGAGGAGGAGGAGAATGAGGAGGAGCAGGCCTTCCCCTCAGGAGTACATCGTGGACTCCACCTGCGATTCGAGGGCCGCGGTCATGTGCAGCCTTTCCAAGGACCCCGACCACAAGAAGTGGGTCGTGCACGGCCTTGGGTTGAAGTCCAGAGGCCTGGCCAGCTTGCCCTACCCCTCCTTGCTCTCCGCTCCTCCTCTTCCTTCTCCTCCCTCCCTCCCTCCCTCCCTCGCATCCTCCCTCCCGTCCTTTCTCCCTCCTCTCTTCAATGTTCCTCGATGGGTCCTGAGGGCGTCGTAGCAAGTGTAGACTGGTGTCATGAACCGGTAAGAACTTACCAGGAATAGTTCAGGCTTCCCACGAGGGGATGATCCGACTCAATGACCCCAGGGGTTTATTTGATTCGACTCCTCCTCCCTCTTTGTTCCTCCCTCCTCGGACCTCCCGCCTCCCTCGTCCCGCCCTCCTCCTGCGTAGCCACTCTGGCTTGAGGCCCGAGCCCCAGTCGCAGCCGCGGTTGCTCCCTTTCGCTCACGCAGAAATATTCTTCTTCCTCCTCCTCCTCCTGGTCGTCGTCCTCCTGGTCGTCGTCGTCCTCCTCCTCCTCCTCCTCCTCCTCCTCCTCCCTCCTCCTCCTCCTCCACCTCCTCCTCCTCCTCTTCCTCCTCCTCCTCCTTATCCTCCTCCTCCTCCACATCATCATCCTCATCCTCCTCCTCCTCCTCCTCCTGGTCCTCCTCCTCCTCCTCCTCCTCCTCCTCCTCCTGGTCGTCCTCCTGTTTCTCCTCCTCCTCTTCCTCCTCCTCTGCCTTCTCGTCCTCCTATTTCTCCTCCTCCTCTTCCTCCTCCTCCTCTTCCTCCTCATCTGCCTTCTCGTCTCCACTGTTCCCACCACTGTCCCCACCATGGTCCCACTCTCCCCACTGTTCCCACTGTTCCCACCACCACTGTCCCACCTTCCCCACTCCCCACCACCATTCCCACCACCGTCCCAACTAGTCCCGACCAGTCACCCATCCGGAGTGGGGTGGGGCAGCAGGGGGAGTCGCTGCGGTGAGGAGGGGGGGGTCGAACTGGTAGTTACCCCCCCAGGTTTTCCAGGAGGAGGGGGGGGGTCCGAGCTGGTAGTGCTCCCCCCCCTTTTCACTATGGACCGGGGGGGGGGTTTTGGACCCCCCAGTGACCCGCCCCCGGTTGTCTGCCAGCAACCGTAGAACATGCTATCTCGGATGAGATGATGATTATGATGACGGTGATGGTGATGGTGGTGGTGATGCGGAGGAGGAGGAGGAGGAGGAGCAGGAGGAGGAGGAGGAGGAGGAGGAGGAGGATTTGAGGAGGTGGGGAGGGAATCTCGCACCGCGTGGCGAGGGCCCTCTGCCTGCCCTGCTCGCCCAGTGGGCCCCGGGGGGCCGCCCGCCGGAGGCAGCGCCACGCAGTACGGCCCCATCCGAGAGACCATCGCCGCGAGGCAGGCGGGCTACCTCCGCCGGGGGCTCGGAAGGGGGGTGAGGGCTTTGCTCTGCACGTTCGAAATGGGTACTGAAAGAATGGGTACAATGCTCAACAGCAGTTCCTACTCATTTTGAACAGGGCTCGCTGTCTGCGCCGCCGCGGTCTGTGTCCATTCGAGACAGGAGGCCGCCTGCCCAACAGCGGCCGCTGTTGGTTTGGGACAACATTTGCTGTTGGGCATTGTGCACATTTTTTCGGTACCCATTTCGGGCGTCCAAATTTGCTGTCACGGGCAAGGCTGTGGGAGGGATCGGATGGTGGATCGGAGGCTCGAGGTGTTCGGTCGTGCTCGTCGGCTCTCGGCGGTTTTGGGCCTCAGGGGTGCGTTCCAGCGGCTGCGCCTCGCCGAAGGCGCTCCGAGGGCGCGAGAATCGTCGCGAACGGCCGCTGGAGAGCCGAGTTATGATCCGTATGGGGTAACTTTAGGTGGGATGGGCTCGGGAGGGGACGCAGCGGCCACCAACCGGCCGTTCATCACCAGCAGGGACCCGATTGGCCTACAAAGCCCAGGAGCGTACGCTTTTGCTAGCGAGGGCCGATCGCCGACCTGCCGGCGCTGCATCGCTGATTCAGGCGAGTCGATCTTTTTCCGAACGGCGCCCCTCAACTGAGTCTCTGGCGGTTAGCATCCTGGGGGCCGCAAAAGGCGCGGGGGATTCGAGGTTTGCAGGGAGTGTGGCCCCAAAGGGACCCCAAATGTCTGTTGAAACTGCCACCGCCGCGGGCGCCCAGAAGAGGTGCACGAGAGACGGGCGCCTTGCTGCATGCACGCATGTAACGTAGTGCACTGAAACACAGGCGGTGGTGTGCAGACGCGTACCGCGGCGTCTGTAAGCATGTTGGTGCACACGTGCGTTGTTGACAATGTCGTGCACGCGCGCATTGCGGCGCACACAGGCACTACCGTGCGTGCAGCGCGGTGCCGACAAACGCTGTGGTGCACTCTGGAAATGTGGTGGTCGCTCAGGCATTGCTGGACTCTATGAGTGTATTTGTGTGAGTGCGCGTCGGTGCAGTAGGCGGTGGTAGGGGCTGCAGTTGGCGGTGTAGCAAAGGCTTTCGCAGACCGTGCACCTTTTCGAAGCCCTCCGCCCACCGCGAAGCGCATTCGCAAGCGGCCAGCAAGGTCCGCGGCGGCAGTGGCACATTTGTTTTGCACTTGGCACACCGCGGCCCAGGTTACTTCATAATCCTGTCGCTTCTGCTTTACAGAAGAGAACAGACGCCCAACTGCGCCATCCACTTGGGATACAACTGGGCACCAGTAGGAGTGGAGAAAGGCCCTGTGTCATAGCATCGTGGCTGGAACTTACTCAGGTCCGACTAGGAAGGTACGCAGCAGTCTCCAGATCCATAGGGTTCCAGACGGATCGCATCAGGGTTCCAACAATTTGTTGGCAAACGCTGATCCAATCAACTCCATCTGGATTTGAGTAGATCCCCAACGAAATGCAAACAGGAATAGGGCAAGTCCTCAATCAGACAGAGGACCCAACTTTGGCTCTATTGCGGTTCCAATTCGGATGATGCGTGTCACTTGGATCATGGTGAGTTTCCAATTGGAATCTAGCAGAAGCCAGGGCCGTAACATTTCAACACATAGCAAACATGCTTCACAAAGAAGATAGCGAAGAGCACAAAGAGGATAGCGAAGAGCCGAAGAGCGAGAGAGAGAGAGAGACAGAGAGCGAAAGTGCGAGAGACAGAGAGAGAGAGAAAGACAGCGCCAGAGAGACGTAGTCATATAGCCCCCAAGTAGTTCTATATGTCCTCTCCAATCACGCCCGCTATCGCCGCGAATGCAGAAGTGCTCGCACGGGAGGGGTTGGCCCTTCGCCTGCCAAAGGGGGGCGGTTCTCCGGGGTCAGGATAAGGTCCGTGCAATGCCTCTGATTTTTCTCTCTCCCGAGGCCGCATACGTCTCAAGAGGTATGTCGTTTTTGGCTTCTCCCTGGTAGCCCCTTTGGAAAATTGTCGCCCGGGCCAGCGTTTTTCCAGAAACCATGCGTTCCTTATTTGCCCCTGGCTGACTTTGACCCCCGGAAGTCTGCCCCCATTAGCAGGCGGATGAGTTGGCATTTCGCCTTGGCCGGAAGCCAGCGAAGGACTGGTCGAAGGCGGCCAACGCAAACATGAGACGCTAGCACTACTGGAATGGAGTTGGACGTATGGGCTCCAGGTAGCAATTCTACTCGGGGCCAGGGACCGTCAAGGAACGACTCAAGATGAGAAGCCCGTTCCTTGGATGGGGCTGGGAGGCCGACCAGAAACACCAAATTCTTGACGCTTCGCGTATCCCCACCAGCCCATCCAGAAACGACGCCCAGGCGAGTAGAGGTGATCATGGAAGCAGGGCAGCATACAGAGGAACAAGGGGCTGGGGAGGCCGTCGTACCCCAAGGGGGGGGGGGATGGAGGAGGAGTCGGAGGCGGAAGAGGAGGAGGATGATGAGGGTGGGGAGGGAGGAATGAGGAGGAGGAGGAATAGGCGGATGATGATGTTGATGTTGATATTGATGATTCTGATGATGAAGATGATGGTGGTGGTCTTGACGATGGTGATGGTGATGGTGATTATGATGATGAAGATGCTGATGATGATGCTGATGATGATGATGATGATGATGATGATGATGATGATGATGATGATGATGACGGTGATGATGAGGGGGAGGAGGAGGAGGATAAGGGCGATCAGAAGAGTCAAAGGCCTCTTGAATGCCTCGCGAAGTCTCTTGGGATGTCTCTTGGGATACTCTTTGAGGTCTCTTGGGGCGTCTTGGGGGCCTCTTGGCGGTCCCGGGAGCTTCTTGGACCGTCTTGGGTGCCTCGTGGGAGCCTCTTGGGGCCTTGGGGGCCTCTTGGGGGTATTTTGGGGGACTCTTGGAGGCCTCTTGGGGCCTCCTGGTCGCCTCTTGGGGCCTCCTGGGCGCCTCTTGAGGCCCTCTTGGGGCGCTCTTGGGAGCCTTGCGAGCGCTCTTGGGGCCATCTTGGAGGTGATCGATCAAAGGAAGGGGGTCCCCCAATTAGCCTCCCCCCTCGGGAGCCTCCAAAATCGGCCAAAACCTTAGGAAAACCTATGATTTTGGCTTCCTCGCCGAGGCCGTTTTGGACGCTCTAACTGCCAGCGGCCCCCCCCCCGTCCAAGTCCAGGGGAGGGGGTTAGAGGGAGGGGTAAACCCCTCCCCTAAGGGGATGAAGGAGGGGTGGAAGAGGAGATTCCCTAAACCACCTACGCCCAGAGGGCTGGTGGGATTTTGGGGTGTGCCTTTCTTGCCGGTCGCGGTGGACGAGCTCCACTTGCTTGTCAGAGCGCAGGGCGGAGGAAGAGGTATGTATGTTTGCAGGCGTGTCTGTCCGGCGTGGGCCTCCAAAGGCATATGAGCGACGGAACAAAAACGGAGTCGGCTGCGCGGACACATGCGCGTAAGTTTCACGCGTATGGTCGCGTGCGAGCGCTTTCTCCTCACGCGGTGTGCCACGCTGGCGGCCCGCGTAAACCGTGGCGCGTGCAAGCCCCAATCGTTTTGCGTACCTCCAGCGTCCTCGGAGACCTCTGGGGAGGCCGCGGAGGCGTGCTTTCCGAGCAGAGAGTGCGGGGCTCTCCTAATTAAGGTTGGGAGCGACGAGCTGCGATCGTGACCGTCCGCACGCTGCACAAGCTGGATCGGCTGAAGCGGGGCAGCCAGAGCAAGTTTGCCAGCTTGCTGTGGGGCGTGCTGGAGATCGAAGAACAAACAACTGCATAAGCATAAACTGTCGGAGTTCTGCGCGGATTTCTTGGATCTGTGCTGTGCCCCCCTGGCGACGCCTCCGGTGCCGCCCCTCGCGCGCACCGCGCGCCATGGAGGGAGCTTCAGCGCTGATCCAAAAAATCGGCGCGGACCTCCGACAGTTCATGATTATACAGCTGTTTTTTGCCGTAGGAGTTGCCCACCAGCCTCTTCCAGATGCTGTGCTCTTGGCTGTAGTAGGCCCCCAGGTGCACGTGTTGCGCTTGAAAGTTCATCCGTTCTAGACAAATTGCTTGCTCCTTTTTGGGAGCGGTTGGGTTGCTGAGCGCAGCAGCGCCAACGATATTTGTCATCGTGCTCGTAGCGTTGCATTTGCGAGGAATTTACATTACATACCACCTGCAGTCGTTTGTTTAACTCCTGCGGTGCTTTTTGTTTCGGCCTGGTATAGCATATGTGTCTTGAGCCTTGCAACTGCGGACAAGAGTGAAGGGTGTGCCTGGGCACCTTGCCGGGGTTGCGGGGCTCAAGCGCGTGGATTGTGGTTTGGGTGTGGGTGCGTCGCCGGTGGGTTACAGGCAGGTCGTCGGTGGGTCGCGGATGGGCCTCGGGGTGGGTCGTGGGGAGGTTGCGCGTGGCTTGCGGATGGTTCGCGGGTGGATCATTGAAGGGGTGTCGGCAGCCGCATCAATAACAAGAACAACGATTGTCCGTACCGCGGATCCGCTTTCCATCAGCCAGTTGCATAAGTAACCAATGGGACCGTCTGCAAGGGCCTTTGGGTCAGTCTTGGGGCCGCCTTCGCCTCGTCTGCTTGGGGCCAAATCTGCAAGGGTCCTGGGCTGTGTGGACGCTTTCTATGCCGGTCTTCCAGCCCTCTTCCTGCTCCTTATCATCATCCTCATCCTCATCCTCATCCTGCTCCTCCTCCCCCTTTTCCTCCTCCTCCTCCTCCTCCTTTTCCCCCCATCCCTCCGCGTAGCCATTTTGGCTCAGGTCGTTCTGGGCCCGAGCCGCGCCACCGAGCGTCTGGGCCCTGCCGCCGCGCTCGTCAGAGCGGCCCGTGGCGGCGAGCCGTTGTCTGGGGGAGGCGGAGTGGGGCACGCGCGGCCGCTCCTCGTCGCCCGCCGCGGCGACGTCGAGATCCAGGCGTGCTCCTACCTCATTCGGGGAAATTGGAGGAGCTGGAGCTGGTCGCTCGTTGCTTTGCTGGGGAGGCGGAGGGCGGGGGCAACAGCAAGGCTCGGCGGGCCGCCGAGCAGGCTCAGCAGCGCAGCGCTGCCGATCAAGAGCTGGAGGGCGGCCAGTCGGGCTCGTTCTTCACCGGGGACCTGCAGGCCATCCTCGACGTGGACGGTGGCGAGCAGGACGACGAGGTGGCGCAGCACGCCGAGGGTGGCGTCGAGGTGCCGAAGGATGGGGAGAGCGAGAAGTGCGGCGGCGTGCTTGCCCCGATCCCCGCCTTCCCAAAGCTGGAGGCCGTGATGCTGGAGGGCGAGGCCTACAGCGATGGGTCCGCGAACTTCGGGGAGCAGCTGCTGAACGCGGCCGCGGTCGCCAGCAAGAGTTCCACGAAGGACGGGCTGCTGGACAAGTTCGGCTCGAGCTTCGGGGGGCAGCTGACGGACGCGGCCGCGATGGTCGGCAAGGGCTTCACGGAGGGCGGGCCGACATGCAAGCTGGAGGCCGATGTCGGCGACGTCGGCGGCGACGACGGCAAACTCCGGGAAAATGCGGCAGGGAATTCGCGGCGCATCGCTGCGAGCTCAGCCTGCGAAGGCCCAGCCTCGGCCGACCCTCGGCTCCCTCCCCGGCCCTGTGGCGAGGTGGCAGCGCGAGGCGAGGCCAGCGAAGAGGCAGAGGGCAGGGCCCGAACCGAACCCGTTCAGCCTCTCCCTCGACACTTTCGGGCTGCTGGGAGTCTTCGGGGCCTGCGACGTCGGGGTCGAAGGCTGCGAGGGGGTCTTCGGACTCTAAGCAGGAGGGCGATGAGCATGGCTCCGTGGACGTGAGCGGGGTCATTGGTAAGAAGCTCTTCGCCCCCGACGGCGAGGAGGAGCTTGACGCGAAGGGTCTCTGCGACCACGTCATGAAGGCCATCGAGGGATTCGCGCCTGGTTCGGAGGAGCACAAGGGCGCGTTCGCGGAAGCGTGGATGCGCTTCGGTGACGTCTCCCCGGAGGCCATGCGCGCCGACATCGCCAGGCAGCAGGGGAAGGCAAGGAAGGCGAATGTGGAGTGCGAGAAGCTCCAGAAAGAGGAGAAGCGAGTTGTGGCTGGGCGACGCCGGCGAGTATGAGTACTCGGGTCCGTCCTCGGCCTCGACGAGTTGCACGTGGCCGACAGGGCGGCGCCGCAGAGGGCCACGCGCAGCGCGCGCGCAGTTCGGCCGCCGCGGCGGCAGGCGGAGACTTTCCGCCCAGCCTCATTCCCATTCCCTCCCCCGTCCCTCATCCCTCCTCACTCCTCCCCTCCCCCCACCCACCCTCCTCCTTCCGTCCTGCCTCCTCATCCTCATCCCCGGGCCTCCAGAAGTCACCACAAATACGTTGGGCCCCTTGCGGTCGTCTCAGATCCGCTTGCAGGGGGGTTGTTTTGCGTTCTTCTTTGCGCCTCTTGGGACGACGCGGGGTGACAGGCGCGACGCATTGATGTTCCGTCGCTTCAGACATCGTCAAATGCCGCCTGAAAACAGCAGTTTGAGTTTGCCCCTCCCTCTTGGGGACCTCCTTGGCCTCTCTTGGGGGCGTGGCGGCCGTCCTGGGACGACCTCTCGTGGGTGCTTTGGGACCGTCCTGGGGCGATCTTGGGGGCGTGCTTGGGCGTCCTGGAAAAGGCGACCGCGCGAACACATGCAAGGCTTTTGTTTTTCAATCGTCCGGGCTGTGGGGCGAGCCTTGGGGCTTCCAAAACGGCTCAAGACGCCCCCAAGGGGGCCACGCAGGAAGTGTGGACCTTCCCTGAGTCCTGGCGAGAGTGCGCTACGCCCAAGCGTGCCATGAGGGCCCTGGGGCGGCCCCAGCGGCCCCAAGGGGCACGAAACGTGCAAGCCCCACCCCCAATCAACGCCCGAACAAACATCGGACGGGCGTCGGACCGCGACCAGGCGGCTGTCGGACTCGGACGTGGGGAAGAGGATCTCTTTCAAATCGCGCTTGTCGCACGGCAGTGGGATGTGGCCGTTCTGGCAGACCGTCCGAGCATCGGGGTCCTCTTTGGGCCCGCTCTAAGCTCTGAGCCCCAGGACCTCGATCGATGCCACTGTTGCGCTCGAAACCTTTTTGGCTTTTGGAGGCTGGATCCTAAGGATTGCCATGGTCGAGGTGCGGCAGTGCGTCGCAATGGTCAGAGGCAGAACACGGTTTCCAGGACGCCGCAATGAGAACCACGCGTGTGCGGCCTGAGTAGAGCGCTGAGGTCGAGCGTTTTTTAGCGGGCGCTCTAGGGGCAAACCCAGCCCAGGCGCCAGTCGACATCGGCCTCAAAGCCCGCGCGGTTTACGGGCTGCGCAAATTTCTTATGTGTCGTCATGGTATCATTTGTTGCGCTTGCTGGGTCGATGTGTGACGCACTGGTCACTGCTGCTTCGATGGAGCAGGTTGTCCGGCATCTTGCGATTCAGTGCATTCCCAGAGGCCGTTCAGCGGCCACTGCTGGAGTGGTGCATCGTAGCAGTTGCCGTCAAAATACGGGCTGCAGTTTTTGTTTGGCTAGGTGTGGCTAGTGGGCGAGCGACGACGGGGCACTCCAGTCTGTCCTCTCGTCCCCTTCCTGGGTCTTGTGGCGTCTCGATTTTCCACCAGCCAAGGGACATTTTCACCAGACCGCACAGGTGGGTCCATCAGCGATCGTTTGATCACATAGGTGGCAGATTAGGGCCTTCGATATTCAGAGCTTGTATCTAGACCTTAGGGTCCGGTTGTGGGCTTGCGTTTCACTCTGGGGCCCACTGTGCGAATGCAGAGTGGGTGAGGACCTGTCATTGGGCCGAAGCCAGACAAAATCAGAGTCACCATCTAGCAGATTTCGAAACCAAGCATCAAGCTGTGAGTTTAGAACTTCGATGCCTTACCCCACTCATTGGCATCTTAGGGAATGCTTCCACATGGGAGGAATGTTCTGGGTGTAGTTCACTGCTTTCTACCAGCATGCTTTCTTGTATGATGTAATGCTTCCAGGCGTATGCCAATCTTGCCTCGGCTCACCACCATTGCAGCCATCGTCACCTGGCTCTCGCAACAATCACTCTGAGCCGCCTGCGCACGTCTCGCAGCAATCGCCGACGGCTTGGAAGCTTCCACGGTCCACGCCCACGATGTTAGCCAGGGTCCCGGGCATCAGCAGCAGAACGTCTGCCGAAGTTTGGACACTTCCCGCATGTTTGTCTGAACGTCTCGGCCAAGCAACGTTCTGCGTATTGTGTCTCCACCTGGGCGTCTCCTGCTTGATGCTCACCAGCCTCGAACGTATCCCTATCCCTAAGATTGACACGCCAAAAGGCGATGACACTCTCAGGGATTCGCCCTGAACAACTAAGGGAAACCCTAAGATTGGCATTGTGTTGAGGCGATGCCCAGCTTAGGGATAGGGAAAATTTCCAGGCTGGTAAGATGCGTGCCCACGATCGGACTACTCCAGCTGAGCGCTCCCTGCGGGGGCAGGCCCCGCGGCCCCGCGTGCCTGGGAACGGTCGAGGCGTTGACGAGGGCGATGCCCAGCGAAGACGACGCGGGGGGACGGGCGCACAGGAGGGGACCCCTCCAGCAGACGAGAGTTCGGCAGCAGAGCATGGGGGCCTGGCATCACCCCTTTTCATTCTGGCTGCAGCGTCGACTAGCGTTTGAGAGTCGATGAGATGGCGCCGATCTAGCGTCGGCTAGCGTCGATCGATCGTCGATTGAGCGTCGACTGGCGTCGACCTGGCGCCTGTGAGCGTCGGTTCGCAAGAGCCGACCAGATGGTATGGGAGGCCCCCGCGAGTTGCCGCCGAACGCAGGGGGTCTGCGGGAGGGTCGAAGGCGGCCCCCCCGCTCCCGGTACTCGAGGAGGACTTGGCATCGCTCGGACGTGTGTTTTTTTCCTTGGGCGAGGACCATCGAGGAGCATCCTTGGTCATTTGGTGAAAAAACCACGCACGAAACCGAAACAAACACAGGGAATGGACGTCCGAGCGATGGCCAGAGGACCAGAGGAAGGGGTGGGGGGGTCGAAGGCCCCCCTCCCGCCCTCGCGGCACTGCTGTCTTTCTCCCCCCCGCGCGCCGAAGGGTGGGGGGGGGGGGCTCTCCCCGGGGGCGGCAAAAAGAGGGGGGGGATGACTAGGAGGGGGGGGTGGATCTCGTGGCGTGGGCCATGATGTTTCCTCAGATGTCATGGCGCCTCTTCTTATTTCAGCACGTCCCGGCCCCCCCCCCTGGACCGCGCACGTGCCGCTGGCATACTCCAATGTCCTTTCTTCGGAGAGGAGCAAAAAATGTCACAAGCATAAACTTGTGGCGCTCCGCGCAGACTTCTGGGATCCGCGCCGGGCCCCCCCCAAGACGGCGCCTCAGGCGCCGCCCCTGGAGGGGGGGTCCAGCGCAGATCCAAGGAATCCGCGGGGACCGCCAAAAGCTTATGTTGTTTATGCAGCTTGTTGTTTCTCCATTCTCGCGCACTGAGAGGGGGGATCCACCCTTATCTCTGCAGGCGGATCTCCTTGCGAGCGTGCGCGACAAGCCGAGTGGACATGCAGCATGCTTTCTGGCCCGCGACGTTGCCACGTGGCAGGTGCAGCAATGTAAGCTTGTGATTGACAAAAGGCCCCCCCCCGGGGCTGATGAGTAGACCCCGCGGTGCGCGATACTTGTTTTTAATCACGCACGCCAAGGGGAAGGAGGAGAGAGGAGGGGGAAGGGGGAGAAGGAGGAGAATGAGGAGGACGAGGAAGAGGAGGAGGAGGGAGGAGGAGGAGGAGGAGCAGCAGGAGGAGGAGGAGGAGGAAGGAGGAGGGAGGAGGCGGAGGAGGAAGAGGGGGAGGAGGAGGACTACCCGCCTTGCTCGGGTCGCGTCCGACCCGAGCAAGGCGGGGAAGGAAAGGGGGGGTTGCAAAGCCTGCTGCGCGCAGTTCGGTCGCCTCGCCGAAGGGCCAGTCCTCAACGCATGGCCGCTTTCGGCGCCAGGAGGCGCTTGGAAAATCGGCGACGTGAGCTGCTTGGCACATCCCCACCTTTACTGTGCCCCACTGTCGTCCAGCCCGCCTTGCACGCAAGCCCGCATCGGTTCGACAGAAAGAGGGGCGCCCTGGCTCGCCCTTGCCTCCAACCCCCCCCCTTGCCCCTCGTTGGCGGCCGGGCGTCGGCGCTAATCACCAGCGCCGCCCCGTTGATGTTCAATTTGGCGGGCGCCGCTTCGCGATTCGTCCGAGCAGGGGAACGATACTTGCACACACGCGCCCCCAACGGACTTGCTAATCACGAGCTGCCGCTCGACTCTTGTGGTTTCCGCCCCGATGCGCTGCCTCGCGGCGAGTCTGACAGAGTCGTGCTGGTCTGCTCCCCAGGCGCTGCCGCGTGCCGAGTCGAGCGGCGCGATCGGCTGCTTCGCGCCCCAGTCGTCGCCACGCGAGGGGCGGCGTCGAAAAGGGGCGCCTCGGGCGCTCCCCCTGCTGCGATGCCGCTCGGCGTGTGGGCTGGCGCGAGTTGCCCTTCGCCCCCCCCAGAGGCGCTGCTGCGCGTCGAGTGAAGCATAGGAGAGGCGCCTTGCCCGCCAGGCTGCGGTGCCACGTGGCGGGCGCCATGGGTCATCATGAGTTTCGCCGCCACGCCCTGCCGCGTGTCCGGTCGAGGTGGGCGCTCGCTCGTTTTCTCCAGCGCGCTGCGTCGCCACTTGGCGATTGTGCGTCGTCCGCCGCGGTGCGCTGCCGCGTGGCGACTGGAATCGCAGCGTCTTGCTCTGCCCCTCGGGCGCTGCTTGGCTCGTTCCCCACGAGCTGCCACGTGACGGGCAGAGGCTCGAGCTCCACATGGGGGGGA